TATTTGAGGTCTTGCTGAAATTAATATTTTGTTTAACTTATTGATTATTTTATTTTATCTGTGATTGCTATTATCTTTCTTTAGCTATGGTATCTTAAATGATTTCTCTCTGTCTCACTAGATCTACCAGAAGGTCCCAAGCACAGACCCTTCCTCTGCCAAAACTCAACAGATTGTCAACACTGTCCAATCCATGAGCTTACCCAGTGGTACCCTGGTCTCCCGGACCCATTATTCACCCCTCTATTTTTCCTGCATTATGATTTTAGCTGCCTTGAGCTGGCAGTATCTGAACACTGTCTCAAAAGCAGCAGAGGAATATGTGCACACTGGTGAGAACTGAAGGTGGAGCCCTGACATTTCGAAGGGGAATATTTTGAAATGGGAGAACTTTTTGGAGTCCCAGGAATGTAAGGAACAGGACTGTGAATGTTTCACTACAAGCTGACTAAACTAGAAGCCTTCAGTTGAAAGCATCTGCTGCTGGTTTTGAAGCCTCTAACAGTTTCCCATGGAGACATTTGCTTTTTTCCCCAGCTAAACTAGCTACAGTCAATTTTGTTTGAGTCTTACTTGATATTTTCTTTTCTGCAGTTTGCTCTGCATTTGTTTTTGATGTAGAGTGTTTTTTAACTGATGTTTCAAAGTGTTTGTGAATTTTGACAGTAAAAAAATGTGGTGATAAAACCACTTCTCTATGTCCCGCTGTAATTCAAGCACTACATTTTCTGTTCAAAAACACTTCCAAAGCCTGCACTGTCTTACATTGTACTAATTTTAGGAATTTGTCCTTACATTAACTTTGGAGATAGATATTTATCTTTATTATATGATTATTTTTTTCTTTTTCCATAAATGTTATTGTGCCTCTTGGAAAAGGTTTCTATATTGTAATATGCAAGGGATTTGGGGATCCAATAGAGAGGGAAGTTGTATAAATGTGTGAACTGTGGCTCTTCTACAGTAAAGCTGCCCACTCCTAAAGCAGAGATTAGCACTGAGAATCGGAATACTTTTAACATCTTCTGTAGCCTGGAGAAGTTCTAGTTTGGGATAGCATGCGAAGTAAGAATGTGAGAATTTTGGTAGGTGAGGCCAAACCATCCTCCCAGTATCTTCATATAGCAGCTTCCTTTTGCAGATTCATTCTAGGTACCTGGCCAAGCTCGTGGCCTGCAATTTTGTTTCACTGGCTCTTCCATCAGATTTGTGGTTTCCATGCAAATGGTAAAGCACTGTCCCAAAGAAGCCCAAGAAGGGTGCTTTACAAAGTATCTGTTCACATGGTTTAGAACAGGGGTGTCAAACTTAAGGCCTGAAGGCCAGATCGGGCCTGCAAAGCCAGCCTGGAAACATCGAAGGACTGTCAGTGAAAACAGCTCCGGAGGGCCAGGTGCAGCTCTCCCAAGCTCTGCTTTTGCTGGCAGAGGGTTGCAGGAGGACGTCGCAGCTGAAAATGGAGCTGGGGAGCTCATTTTCACTGGCAGAGCGCTTGGGTCACCACAGGTGCCTTTGACATGAGTGATGTTGAGTTGGCCACAACCAATTTGGCCATTCCTCCTCGCGCTGTCAAACACAACCCTGATGTAGCCCTCAATGAAAGAGTTTGACACTTCTAGTTTAGAATGAAATTCATGATTCGTGAAATCTCTAAAATGAAGAAATCAATCTAGAACAGCATATGTTCATGGTAGTAAGGAATAGTTATGAGGTCTGAAATAGAGCTTTTTCAACTTCTGATAATAGACTCCAAGTTGAGCTCTACTAGTGTCACCGGGACATGTGCATTTCTCTTGGTTTACTATTGATTTCTCCTAGAATGGTTGACATCCTAAACTAAAGCCCCAGTATTTCCAAGTGGTCTCACCCAAGAGCCAACCAAGATCAACCCTAGTTAGCATTCTGAGGAACACCCATATGCTGTGGCATTAGCATGGAGGACTTGTTTTCTCTGCAACCCCTGGGTCCCAATTCTATGAAGAGGGGTCACAGAAATGTCTTGATTTACAATGCAGGTTAGAAGGCCCATTATAGTAGCCTTCAGCATTTGATACTTAAAAGCCATTTCTTAGATATAGTGAACCAACTTCAGAACAGATTCTGTAGGCCTTGTGCTATGCAACTTACCATATTTTTCGGAGTATAAGATGCACCTTTTTTCTTCAAGAAAGGGTGAAAATCTGGGTGCATCTTATACACTGAATACAGCATTTTTTGCCTCCCAAAGCCCCGCCCCTTCACCAAAATGGCCATGCATAGCCTTTAGGCTTTCAGTGCTCCTGGGAGCTGGGGAGGGCCGAAATGAGTGAGAAATGGGCCATTTTTTGCTCAATTTCCCCCCCCAAACCCCGAGGAGCATTCTATAAGCAGCCTAAAGGCTATGCATGCCCCTTTTTGACAAAAAATGGGCCCATTTTTGCAAAAAGCTGACCATATTTTGCTTGTTTTTTTGGGGGGGGGCGGTGCAAAAGCACTCTACAAGCCTCCTAAAGGCTATGTGTGCCTTTTTGGGGGGGGGGAAATGCCATTTTTGGGAGGTCTCCAGAGTGCAAAAACTTTTTTTAAAAAAAATTTGTCTCTTCCAAATCTTGGTGCATCTTATACTCTGAAAAATATGGTAACAAAAAGCTAAAAAATAAACACGAGACAGCTTGGATTACTGGGATTTTTGCAAATAATTCTCAACTAGATAGCTCTTGATTTACTTTCCACAAAGGCACCATTGATTAAATCTGTATATACTGAAAATTTAACTGTTTATTTCAGTCTATTCTTGCACCTTTTGAAGCACAGCAGTGAACGACAATAAAGCATATTTAAATAGAGTATGGAAGGCAAAATCTTGTTCAGCTCTGTGTGGATCTTTAAGTAATGAGCTATAGTGGGTTTTGAAGAATGGTTCTAGATGCTAAGGACTTTCATGGTCAAGGACCGTGATACCACTTGTAGATAATTGCAATTCCTAGGTGTACGTACCTCAGTACTTCAAAGCAATTTAAGGCCAAAATTAAACCAAAATCTAATATACATTATTCTAGTGCCAATCAAGAAATCAGAATTGCAGAGGAGCTAGAGGTTGGGAAAGAAGGATTTGCAGGCTGTATGGAATTCAAAATTAAAACTTTGTGACATGTGCATAAAGCATTATTGCTTCAAATCATCAAACTTTCAAGGTACATAGGGAAGATACTGTAGCACACGATCTACACTCATACTCACTTCATCCAATCTCTCTATCCTAGATAGATATAGGCTTTATATCAAGACCATTAAATTTGATCTCAGCAACCCACATTATCCTCATGAGTTCAAATACAGAACCTCAAGGATCAGTAAAACGTATTGGTGTGTGAAACAGTCGCCTGCTAAAGTTTTATCAGCTATGGCACAACATGCATTGGGTCTATTTTCCAAAACAGAATGAACAAACATACACATTGTAGAAAAAAAGAGATACTTTACTGGACATAGGAATTGGAAGTACACTGATGAAATTCTGGTCATAAGTCTTAAGTGTATAAAATATTCTGCATTTAACAATAACTTTGCATTTGAAACCAGAAACCAATCACATAAAGCCTGTGGGTCAGATTTAATTTTAGGTTGGGTTCATCTAAACCCATGGTTTATTTTAAATAGTTTGTTGAAACAGACTGGCCACCTACCTAGGCAAAGCAAACCCATTTATGGCTTCTCATAACAGCAAATCCAATTGTGTCTAGGTGAGATTCAACAAACTCAGTAAGGTTAACAGTAGCAAACTGAAGTTCCTTTAATTTGATATTTAGTGTTGGAACCATTTTTATAGCCCCTTTTTGTGCACAATTTTTATGCTTGTTGCTTATGTTTCCTCATCATTTACAATAATAAAAAAATGAAATAATTCATGCATATGTGCAGGACCAGTTAGTGCAATTGCCCAAATAGTTTCATGAATCAAGTTTAAATGACAGGCACAAATAAAGCTCTCTCTTTATTACTATATGTACTGCTTCTGCAACTATTTGTGTGTGTGTGTGTATGTGTGGGTCTCCTATTGCTGCAACTATTTAAAATTTAATTTAATTTAAAGTAAACTTGAAACTTCATGGTCCTACAGTCTCACCTAGCCAGGTTTATCAAGGAACTGAAGTTCAATGCGTAGAGTTACAACAGATTCGGGAGTTTTGTCTGTTTTGACTATTTGGTCAGTTTCAGAAGGTCCCTCCCTCTACTCCTTATCTTTTCACTATTGAGGCACCTATTGACATTGAGAATTTAGGAAGAGAAGAATTAAGACTGCTGCTACTGTGATGACATCCTCTTAAAATTTCTTTGAAATTTAGGCATTGATTTCAGCATTCATGCAGTAAATAAGCGACTACTTTAGCCTTTCTATTTTCTATTTCCTGAAAGTGTTTGTGTGAAAAAGAAGGGGGGGAGAATCCTCTTTACCACTTTGCACAATAATGTCTACTAAGGATTAAACTTAAAACAATCCAACCCTGAGATTCCATTAACCTACACTCTTATCTGATGGGTGGTCATCAATATGTGGAGGGTAAAATTAAACACCACTGCAAACAGCAACCTCAACATCTTAAGCAGGAGTTGGTTGTTTCTAATCATCCCTTCTGTTGGTGAAATGTACTTTTGGTTCCTTTAGAGCAGTGGTTCTCAACCTTCCCAATGCCGCGACCCTTTAATACAGTTCCTCACGTTGTGGTCACCCCCCAACCATAAAATTGGTGTCTCGGTTCCTAAGACCATCGAAAATATGTGTTTTCCGATGGTCTTAGGCGACCCCTGTGAAAGGGTCGTTCGACCCCCAAAGGGGTCCCAACCCACAGGTTGAGAACCACTGCTTTAGAGGTATTTCATTTAAAACAGCCAGTTTCACCTTAATTTCCTTGCCATTCTGTCTTGCCAGTCATGAAAAATTGTTGAGTGAAAATTAGAAAGCCTCATGCTTCAGACCCAAGGAGAGCCTGCTAGAGATATCTGTGTTGTATATTTTTTTTAAAAAATGTTAAAGGCTTAAAACAAAATTCCTGATGTCTAAAATGTCTTAGAGCAAAGGATTGCCACCATGTCTTCTATCTTTATAAGTATGATTATGTGCCATTCAGCTGGCAGGATGATTACAGCTGCTTCCAGTACTGGCTTGTGCGAGGGATTCCAGCTACAACCTCGGACTCAATTCCACAGTGATCTTCCCCACGGAGGATTCGGAAATAGCCTAGAAGATATTGAGAGAGAAACATTGCAAAAAATTCTCAAGACTAAATAAAACGAAACAAACCCAGCCCAACTGACTTGTCCCCTAGCCATTTTTTTGGGTGTGTGTGAGTGTACAGGTATTCTTTGATTTATGACAGTTCACTTAACAATGGTTCAAAATTACAACACTTCTCCCCAAAAAGTACTTACAACCTGTTCCCAAAGTTACATATGCTGCAGCACCACAGTGATGGTTCATCCTTATGATAGACTGCAGAGACGCTGCAATGTGCCCTCTGCCTATTCCCCATCCTACCTCGCTGGGTCTCCCTAGGAACTGGCCCTATTTGGCTAGCCCTCAGAATTACACTTGCTACTCCCCCATCCTGTTTCCAATTGCTCACTTACTTTTCGAAGATCTCCAGAGTCCCTGAACAGGCAGAAAATAAGTGGCTTCAGGGACAGAAGTGTGAAATCAGAGGGGAAGAAGTAGAGCTTCTTTCCATTGTCTCATTGGGCTTGCAGTCGCCGGATTTCATTGGACGATGAAACATAGGAAACAAGCTCCAGGTTGATTGGCAGCCACCTCCATGCTCGAATCCTTGAAGCTGCTCATTCAAACCAGTTCCCCAGCAGCAAGCAGGAGGTTTCTGCGCTACTGGCCATGGATGCATGGATGCCAGAAAACGGCCATCTTTTACTCAGATGCTGGGGAAGCTGTTTACCTTGGCTCTTGCATTCTTATAACTTCACCAGCATCTGAATAAAAGATGACAGCTTCTTTTCTCCCATGTGGATCAACCTATTCTGGGGACCCTGGAGATCTTTGAAAGGTAAGTGAGCGATCGGAAATAGGGTGGGAAGAAGCAAGTGTAATCTGCGGGGGGGGGGGGGCAGCTAGCAAAGCAGGCCCAGTACCAGTGGAGACCCAGCGGGACAGTATGGGTAGGGGGAAAGCAACTTTGGGAACCCCAAGGTATGAAAGCGGAGCGTAAGATATTTCAGTGGATGGGGGGAGGTCTTGATGGCCTATTCCAGCACTACAACCCCCCTATAATGTTACCCCCCTGAGATACATAATGTCCACTTAACAAAGTGCATTCGATTAACAAATATATTGGGGAAAGCAGGGAGGGATCGTGTTCATTTAATGTGATCCAATTAACGAATCCTCAAGTTACAAATGTAATTGGCCGGCTTTATTATATTCGTAACTCAAGGATTACCTGTACTGATATGCATGACAAAGAACATGATGGGTCCGGTCAGATGTGTCAACCGAAAAGGAGCATAGACGACCTCCAGATGTTGCTCAACCACAGCCCCTGGCAGTTTTACACCATAGGGATCCCTGAAAGATAATTAACCCACTAAAGGAAGAGAGATCACCTACCATTTTCACCCCAGTCTGTGTTCCAGGAATTAGCTATCAACCAGTAAGGTGTGCCATTGTCAACACCCCAGCCAAGAATTCGGATTGCATGGCCACCAACTGGTTCACCAGAAACATGCTGATAGACACCTGCAGGGAAAAAAACTGTTAACTCTATTCCCAAATATAAACGCTGTGATTTCCCTACTAAGATCACTACTGAGTTAACAGAATGCTTGGAATTTAAACTTGGGAAGAAACCGTAGATATTATGGCTTCTGAGAGCGTCTTGCTTGGCAACTTTATTTGAATCCAAACTTTCACATTTCAGGCACCCGGTGAGATGCAGCTCCCTCCAGACCTTCCGCGCCGCACTTAAAATCTGGCTATCCCGGCTGGCCTGGGGTTAAAGATTNCCCTCCAGACCTTCCGCGCCGCACTTAAAATCTGGCTATCCCGGCTGGCCTGGGGTTAAAGATTTTAACCCCTACTCGAATTGTATGACTGTTGAGTTCTTAAATGATGTAATGCTTTTATGTTGTAAATTGTTTGTCCTTCCCCCACCCTTTTTGAACTGTGAGCTGCCCTGAGTCCCCCGAGGGAAAAGGGCGGTATACAAATAAAGTGAACTGAACTGAACAGCTCAAAAAATATATTTCAGGTGCAGAATGGGCTGCTTAAAAATGGAGCCAATTTAACCTTGAAAAGTTCAGGAATTGTTAAATCTATTCTGAATTCAAAATAATTGATCTTCATTTTATATTCCTAACAGAGTCATAGGAATAATTCATGAAATATGAGTCAACAAAACTTATGCAGCTGCTAAGAAGGCAAATGCAACTTGGGGATGTATTGAGGAGCAGTTAGACTCACAGGAAGTACCATATTTTTCAGACTATAAAATGCTCTGGACTATAAGACGTACATTAGCTTTAGAGGACAACAAGAAAAAAAATCTGCCTCAGCCTCTGCAGTCTGTTTGCCACCACATGAACAGGCAGCCAGAGTGAACAAGGCGTGGCAAACACGTAACCAGAAGCGATGCCAGTTCTATCAGAAGATTAAATCAAATCCATTATAATGGAAATTAAACCAAAATCACCCAAGTGTAATTAATTTAGCTATTCAAGAGTTTACAAAATGAATATTTTTTTAAAAAAATATCTATTTTAAGAAGTTACAGAAAAAAAACACTTACCTGATTTGTACATGAGGAAGTCAGAATAAACAGTAAAGGCTCCCTCCACTGGTCCATTTTTGTAAATCTCAGCCATTATTTCTTTCTCATTGCCAGGCACGCTATAGGAAGTCACTCCTGGCCAGAGGAAAGGGGAAAGTGATCTCTAAGTTAGAAAGCATTTTAATTGCTTATTTCAAAACTTAATGAGTCTTCACCACATTATTACTACTATGATCCTCTGTTACTCCTGACTGTAACTGACAAGTAATGCATCCGCTGGGTATTGCAACATTCATTCTTTAGTTTCTTTCGTTACAAAGATTACAAACATGTTTTCACTAAATTCAAATCTGATGCTAACTATCATTCAATGAATCGGAGAAGAGCAGGTTTAAAATATTCATTACTTTATAACAAGAATATCATCTGTCTGATTTAACTTAGTGCATTATGTGAATTGATCCGAGTTGCCTGAAAGTTAACTGCCACTTAAGAAACCCTGGTTCACCAATTTTGGCAGTGCCATATATGAATCCAGCCTGTAAAACACATTGTACTTTTTATGCTACAGCTGATTTTTGTCGACGTACTGATTTATAATTTATTTATTACATTTATATGCCATCCATCCCTGCTACACCAACCTAAGGTGGCAATGGGGAATCTTTAACTCAGCTTTCAGCCTAATAACCATCCATCAAAGCCTTGAGTATATCCCTGGGCAGAGATCTTTAAAAAATTACAGAATTGTAACAATGTGACAGAAGGGGAAATTACTAAATCCCCTGGGAGATATACTCAAAATAAAAAATGTACAAATAATTTTATTTTCTAAATGTACAAAGGGACAAATAATTTTAGCCCTGCTTACTTGTGCTATTGAAAGGTGAATGCAAAACTTGGCTTGGCTTGACTTGGCCTACATCCTAGCTGCAGACTTTACCCAGAATATCCAAATGTAAGGCCACATGCAAAGCTATGCCTCTTCCACCCCCCCCCCACCAATAGAAAGCACTTTAATTCATTTTCTCTTATAAATAACATGTGGCTGCCTGTGTAACCAATCAAACAATAATCGTACTGTTTGCATTGGTAATTTTTAATTAACATTTTTAATCTTTTACTGCCTTTGGAAATATATTATCAATCCTCTTTTAACAACTCCATAATCCCTTGCGGCGTGGAGTCTGGACGACTGAATGGAGCTGAGTGTTTAACTGGCCAGATGCCCTTCCTGTTGCCAATGTGAAGTTTTTTTCAGCAGATATCTTCTCGTCGTGTGCCCAGAGAGAGAAATATCTGCTTCTACCTACTCACAGCCTCCTGATTGTGAGTTAATCTATTGTGGAAATCTACTGTACCGAAAACAAAATGTTATACTTTATCATGTCAATATTTTGAACTTAAAAGCCTGTGGAAACCGGAATATGCAGTTTAATATATGCATTACCATAATGCTTGTCTTGCTTGTATGAAGGAGAATAACCAGCTTCACATGTTTTGACGCATTCAGGGGTGTCACCACCTTCTCCGGTGCATGGGGGCCGAGTCCCATTGGTGTGATGCTCACAGGGTGGAATAGAGTATGGTCTACAGCCTATTGGATACAATACAGAATAAAATGCCATTTGAAAAGAATCTTTTAGGGGGCAGTTGGCTAAAGTCCCTAGTCTAAGCTCAAATCAAAATAAATCATGTAAGCTATTCACTTCACTTACAATCATTTCACTTACGTGCAAAAATATTTCATTCTGTAGTTCCCTGCAGTTGTACAATGTAAACCACTAATTCAGATAACAGCTCATCCTGCTTTTCCCTTGAGACCTCCATTTCTAAATCATGACAGCCATAAAATGAGTTATCATGTGACTGACCCAATTTTATGACCTGTTTGCGGTTCTTGTAAAGCAAATATAACAGTGGTAAAGTGAACATATTGTTCACTCTGGACTGGGTTTGCTGGAAACCAGAAGTAAATGCCAGCCAAACTGTCGTTAATCACAGTCGCAGGACCATGAGGTGCTGCAAACAACTGTAAATGGGGGGCTGACTGCTGAACACCCAAAATATGATCATGTGAGAGAGGGAAGGCAATGTCAAGACTTCAAAATCTGATCATAGCTAGCTTTAGAAAGCTCTGTTGTAACTTTGAAGGTCATAATTCGAGGCTACCTGTATTTCACAGGGATTCCCACCTCCAACCCCCACATTGTCTGCCTGTTACTTCCAATTCTTCCACTTGTCATTAAGCTCCCTTTTCTCATTCTAGTGAAGATTCTTTGAATAAACCCAAACCGTGTGTAGATAGAAATAATGATGGAAGCCAAGTCAGCAACTTAATTGCAAGGTGAAGTCATGGGCAATACGCCATTCAAGAGAGACTTCCACCATTCAGTGCTGGTCACAGTCATCTTGCTCAGAGGAAAACTCACCAACATGTGAGTCGTAAAGGCCACCAGACACCAAGCCCTTTTCGGTCCAGTATTTCCATGCTCCTGAAGGATAACCTCCATTACAACTGCAAGAAAATGATGCACAATTATCACAAAAGAACTCCTTAGCAGAAATATATTTTAACTGGGGGTTACAGCCTGAAAGACTGAAGACTCTTTGGATTGATGATTATGCATGTGATACCCAAAGAAGTACTTAATAGAGACGGGAAAGGCAACTTTTTCAAAATTTTGGGGAACACTGTAATTTAAAAAAGTGCAGACATGGCACATTCACAAAATACTCATTTACCATTAAGTAAAAAGGCTGCTCTCATCTCTAGCTGCCAGCTCTTTTTGTTCTACAATGATTTCTCCGTACAACAGAAACCTGCTTTTAAAATTTTCTATAGGGCCTGGAAGCATTCCTAAAATAAAAATAATGCTAAAAGCTAAAACTAGAAGCAAAACAGTTTTCTGCAATGTTTTTAATTAAATGATTTTTTTAAAAAGGAAATAGGGAAGAAATTTGACAGGCACCACGTAAAGTGTTCATGGTGATCTTGGAGCTCATGCAGCCTCAAAACAAAACAAAAATCTTTCAAGTTGAGCTTGACTCCTGATTAGTGTAGTATCTTGGCTACTATGAAGTAGAAGACAAACTGTGCTGGGAATAGAATGATCTGAAAAATATTAGATATTTATTTTTACTCTCAGACCACACAGTTCCAGCCATTCGGGAATGGTCTGAGGGCTTTCTAGAAATCAATCTTCCAGAACAAAAAGACTTCTGATCTCAACATATAGTATGAACTGAACTTTCCACTGTCATTCCTGAATATGTGAACCTATCTAGCAGGAGGAAAAGCTGTTCAAAGAAAGGACAAGTGGCAAGGTAGGAAGTAATTTACCCCATTCCACATTCAAACCCGCAGCAAGAGAGCAGATCTTCAGCAGAAATTTCCACATTCACTTTGCCATTAGTATGGACACAAACCCGGTCTGACATGGCTTCAACTGCACCAAAAGCCTACAAAAGACAACCCAAAAGTTCTGTTAGTGGCACTGTTGAGACCTGTATGCTGTCCTAACCCCCTGTCCAACCACCACCAAGCAAAATTATTGTTGCTGCCACCACCTCCACTATCACTACCATTCTACTACATCATTCTCTTTTTATCATTGAAAGCTCTTCTGGACTTTCTTTGGGCATATGTACACTGATGCTTCATAATGGATAGGTGGTTCCAACACAAATAGAGCCATAGGGTTGAATAAGAACTCATATATGCACTGTGTTAACTTAAGAGTTGATTTGTCCTAATTGTAATTTGCCGAGTATGTCACAATAACTGAGTTCTCACATAAGCCAAAGTGAACCAGTTCATACCACACATAAATTAGTGCTATGCATGAATTTAGCCAATGTGTGTTTTTCTCAGATATTGGAAGCTTCAATTAAAGATGGAGAACTGGATATGAACTACCAGATCTTCTGAATTCTGGAACATGGCAAAGGTAGTATGGATATACCACTTCTCTACTTACCCAGCAGGAACCGCAAGAGCCTTGGTCTCTGATTTCACGAATGGTTGGGCAGTTTGACCATTGTTGCCTTGAGTCAAAGCTTTGTGGCAAGACCAAATCACCAGCAAATTCAAACCTTTCAAACAATAGGGAAGAAGTTGAGTGAAAAAGAGACAGAACCATGCGCTAATCAAGTAATGTTTTTGTCAGTCAAAGTCCTTGGATTTAATGTCTTATGTTTAATTTCTTATGTTCAATTTTGCTTCCAGCATGTTGACACAATACTAGCATCCATATGATTCAGAGTCCACACTATATATAAATGAGATCTATTTAATAACTTCAAAGTTTAGCCCTTGTGAATGTATTAATATTTTGACCTGGAACTACATCTGTCCAGATTGATTCATTCCACTAAGAAGCAAGACTATCAACAGATCATTATTGTGGAATTCAGGTTTTGAAAATGATACCTGCAACTACTTTTTTTTAATTAATATGAGGCACCTCGTTTCCTGTTTTTTATTTTTAAATAATAAAAACATAGAAAAGCTCTCTAATATCAACTCACTGGCTCCATCTAGCTCCAATTTTTTCTCCCTGTTCAAATTGTATCTGATACCTGAAGACTGCCTGGATAAGTCCTTTCAGTTTTCTTGGCAAGAACTAGTTTGCCATCGCCTCCTTTCTAGTGCGGAGAATAACTGACCCAAGGTCACCCATTAGCTTTGTGACTAAGGCAGGAGTAGAACTCAAGGTCTCCTAGTTTCTAGTGTGATGCTTTAATCACTACACCAAACTGGCCTTCATCTACCTCAATATTTAAATATAAAGGTAGTAACAGAATTTCAGCAGTGGTGTCTCCCAGTCCCAACGAGCTATTAAGCTACGACTTTCTGCATAAAAACAGTTTTTCTGTCATTAAATTAAGCTCTTTCTTTTGTGTCCATTAGCAACTTTAATACAACTGTAACCAGGAAACCATTCCCGAGAGCAGAAGGCAAGATAGTCATTATCTGCAGAGTCCAAAAGTTCAAGAACACATGTGCAGCAGGATTAGAAGCAAAGCACATAAATATCCTACCTCTCTGGCAGTTTGGGGCCATGCAAGAAGGTGCCACACAACGTCTTCACATAACTCATGTCAGCATTGGCAAAGTTGTGTCCAGCCTTTTAAAGAAAAGTAAAAATAACAATAAAACACAATATAATCAAGACCTTCAACCCCAAGCACAACTACCTTTTACTAATTAAAAACATAACTATACAGGTGCATAAAAATGAACTCATGGTTCCACAATCTACACACTCATATTATTTCTTTATGGCAGGCAGAAATAAAATATATGTATATAAATACTGTCTTCAATAAATATTGTCTTTACTTGGACGAAAGACTAGATTTTCTCTCCCTTTCCCTGCTAATGATTCACTTTTAATAAATAACACAAGGCAGTGAACACACTTAATATGCCTTTCTCCTCGAATTTTCCCCATGCCAACCACTTATGAGGAGGGTTGGGCTGAGTGACTGGCCCAAAGTCACCCAGCCAGTCTAAGAAAGATAAGACTAGAACTCTGTTTCCTGGTTTCTAGTTTCCTGGCTTCTGCCTTACTTGCTAGGCCAAAGTGGCTCTAAATATCAAATTCAATCAAATCTTTATTAAACATTGCTTTCAATTTTTTCCTTAAGTAACTTGGGACTTGCCTTAATTTCAGAGTAATCCCTTATTTAATCATTCATTCATTCAATTTCTATAAATGGCCTTAACCAATGACTCTGGGCAGCTTACAATTCTAAAACTATAAAAATAATAAAACATTTGAACAAATACATACCAAATAAATATATATAGCAACTGAGATTATTAATAGGAAAGCCAAAAAAAAAAGTGGCCCTTAATATATTCAGTGCTCTAAGCTCAGGTACATAGTCACGTTTTTAAAGAAGGGGTGTTCAACCTTGGCAGCTTTAAGACTTGTGGACATGGCCACCTCTGGAATTTTGGGAGTTGAATTCCACAAAAGTTAGACACCCATTTTAAAGCCTTATGAAAGGCCAGCAGAATTAGGACCCTTCTAATCTCTGAGGGGAGAATACTCCACAGAGCAGGGGCTATTGTGAAAAGGCCCATCTTTTAGTTCCTTTCCAGCTGGCACTTTGGGGAAGTGGGGAAATATAGTATTTCCCAGTCAACTTGCAATTTAAAAATCTTGCTCAGTGTCCTCCAACAAAAGGCTACTGGCCATAATAGAAACTGAAGCTCCGAGGCCAAGAGATAATGTCCCTAGAAGTTGACCACAGAATAGCAACTCATCTGCTTCTGCATCTATACTTTACCAGCTCAACTAGGGTCTTGCTTCTATGACTATAGGATGGTGAGGGGTGGGGAGTTAATAAAATTGCCCAGAAAGGAAAATGCCACAACTTATCTACTTCATGCCAGGTCAACAAACTGTAAGTTAATTAGCCCTTGTAAGTGAAATCAGTCCATTAATATTAAGTTTGCCAAGCTGTATCTCGGAAGACAGACAGCCACCAATTCCCACCCCCCTGCATAGTTGGCCCCTACCCTAAAATTTACTCACCTTCCATGTAGTATTGAGTTTATTGATATAGTTCACTAAGTCAGGAGAGAGAGGAGGGAAGTATGGAACATTACGGGCACTTGTGATGACCACAAACAGACCAAGAATTACCACAGAGCACCACATTTTGATAATGGATGCTTAAGATGCTACCTGGAAGAGAGAGATTAATAATTTACACAGTTGCAATGTTGACAAAATTAGTCCTATAAAGAGATCCAAACTTGGAACATGAATAAAGCAGTCATGTTTGTAGTTGCAACTTCTGTAGTTGCCTCTACGAATGGCAGTTGGTTCTGAGGAAACATATATCTATCTGACTTGATATATTCCTGACTAATGATATGTGCATTCCAAATCCAGCTCTGTGCAAGCACTGCCATATCTATATGAACAAGAAAATTGCCAGGTTTCCAGCACAGAATGAACAAATCTATGTCAGTTTGTCTAATGTTATACGCCACAAAAACTCAAATGGCAGTGAACTCATGAAAGTGTCCAATTCCAAATCATCCAAGTTCATAATGAAAGATCTTCCACCCCATTTTCAACTGCCAAAAGGTCCAATGCTTTAAATCTGCATCCTAAAAGCTAGGTTGTGGAGGTTCTGCCCTCTCTTTCCCTGGTTCAGATTCAATATAGAAATTTGGACTGCCAGCAAGCTTAGAAAAACACTGTTGGATACAATCCAATGGGAAAAACATAGCCAAGATGGAAATGCAATTTGTTATATATTTATTTAATTTATATGCTGCTCATCTTGCCAATGTATCATTGGCACAACCAAGAAATAAAGAATAATTAGACATAAAAGAAGATATTGCTACATTCACTCCTGACTCAGGATAGGGAGAAATATAGGCCTATTCCTTTCCAAGGCAAAACCAAGAATTTGAAATAGAATTGTGCAATATATAGCAGCAATTTGATGCCCCATCTCCACCCCCGGAAGTCAATGAGAATGGTTTTTATTCCAGAAAGGTGGAACATTCACACTACGGCAGTGCACCAGGAACTTACTGAATATTGCATCTTATTCAAACTGTGAAACCAAATTTGGCATTTTGAGGCCTACTCTATGACTCATGGTTTTGTATGCCGTGGGAGTACAGAAATTTGTAATCTTTTCAGTAAATAATGGTTATTTAGGTTATGGTTTTGCATGCTGCATGACCTATCATGTCTAAATATTGCATTATACAGGTCATCCTCAACGTATGATCACAATTGAGCCTAAAACTTCTAAGTGAGACATTTGCTAAGTGAATGTTGCCCCATTTTATAAACTTTCTGGCGACGGTTAAGTGCATCACTGCAGTTGTTAAATCAGTAACATGGTTATTAAGTGAATCAGGCTTCCCCACTGGCTTTGCTTGTCAGGAAGTCGCAAAAGGTCACATGATTCCCAAGGGTACTGCAACCATCATACATGCGAGTCAGTTGCCGAATTCTGAATTTTGATCCCATGACCATGGGGATGTTGCAATGGTCATAAGTGTAAAAATGGGCCAGAAGTCACTTTTTTCAATGCCGTTGTAACTTTAAATGGTCACTAAATGAACTGTTATAAGTCAAGGACTACCTGTAGCATCAGGGCATTATAAGTATTGCTATATCAGTCTTCACTTGTACAACAAATGGTCCAAGGTTTAGCTCTCTCTGAAGTAGGCAGCCTGTTTCAGGTGGTACAGCAGAAAACAAATACGATTTGGCTGATCTTCAAGCTATCTTAAACAACTGTATTCTGTCCAACACAAAACCTTACTGCTAGGAGAAAAATGTTCCCAATATTTGCCTTTTATTTCTCTTGTAGAATTTCACATAACTATATCAGCTCTTTGATTCAGAAACTTGTCATGAAACCCTCTACCAAATTCCTGTATTTCAAGATATTGGTCAGCTGACACACACACACACACACACAAAACAATCACCAAACCCTCATAACATAAACATCTGCCAATAGTTAAGTAAACATGTCATGGGTCACAAACTGGAAAATGCTAGAATGCTGCTACAATGCTTGCTTTCTTCACTTCTTCTTTTGCAGGTGAAATGCCTTTTTCTATCTATTGTTGTTGCTTGAATTCTTTATAGACCAAGGGTTTATAACTAATGATGTGTGTGCTGAGTGGAGAGGAAGCATGAAAGACAACCATATGCTATTGTAAGCCCTTTAACTTTGTTAAAAACAACAGCAGAAAATGAGCTTCCCAATGCTGCAAACTATTACACAACTACAGAAGTTCTACTGTTGTTTTTATTCTACTTCAAAATGGGAGTGGGGTGGGTGGGAATGCCACTTGTTTCTTGCCAACTGTAATCAAACATGGTTCCATGCACCAAGTATGGCATACAATGCATTCCACACTGTTGTATGCTTACTTACTAAAATATCCCTACTCAACATCTTGAAGTCAAACTCTAATGTTTTTTGAAGACAGATAATGAAGAGTTCCTACAAATTAGAATTAGCCAAATTCATAGCCATGGGACATAGATTCATCAAAAGAAGCGGGAGGAGAGTAATGTTAATTGTTGGAACTCTTTGGACCAATTCCTGAGATCCTCCCCCAAATTGCATGTTCAGTCCTGCATTCTAAGATTACTACTTCTTCTGCAGACCACAAGAAGCCAACATTCACAGCATCACAGAACTGATACTGCAAGGTTAACACATTACAATCATGATGGTGAACTTATGGCACGCATGCCACAGGTGGCACATGGAGCCATATCAGTGGGCACACAAGCTCAGCTCCAGTGCACATGCATGCCGCGGCCAGCTGATTTTTGGGCCTTCCCACCAGAAATTGGGAAACAGGCTGTTTTCACCCTCCGGTGGGTCTCTGGGAGGTGGGAGTTGGGAAAGGCTCTGGAGCCTGGGGAGTGAAAAACAGATCTTCCGGTCTGATCAGAAGTCAGCAAATGGGTCGTTTCTGGCCTCTGGAGAGCCTCCGGGGGTGGTGGGGAAGGCCTTTTTCATCCTCCCCATGCTCCTAGAAAGGGTCTGGAGCCTGGGAAGGACGAAAAACTGTGCATTGCATGCAAAAAACAGGGGGGAGTTGCATGCGCATGCGTGGGGGAGGGCGCATAGAATTATGGGTGTGGGCATGCACACAAACCCCCTGCTCTCCCAACTTTTGGCATGTAATGCCAAAAAGATTAGCCATCGCTGTACTACACTACAACATGAGGTGTTTTTTTTAAAAAAAAATTGAGCTTGATCAGCAATCTAAAATATTAGTTCTTACATTCCCAAATAAATTCTGGCCTACTGACCACAGCACACGGGACATTCCCTTAGAGATGTATAGGTTTAGCCAGTATTCAACTCTTAATAGCCCAAGTACTGAACATACAAATTAGTTCCCCCTACATTTTACTGTACCGAAAACCACCTAACTCAATTTCAATTTATTTCCCCATTCAGTAGGGCATCCACAGCCCTATTCTAGCTTCCACAATGTTAAAAAATATAGAAGTCATTGTTCATTTTAAAGCAATAAAATGTTTGCATATATTAATAGGAGACTACCTCAACAAGAAATACTTGCATCCAGCCTGTCTTGCTGTTGTTGGGCCTGTTTCAGGGAAATTTCATTAGAATTTGCTTACATGGCAAAGCACCAATTCCACTTCTAATTCAAGTTTCTGTAGAAAAGCAAAATACATGAGCCTCTTTCTGTTATCAGAGTCATGCTAAGGCCTTTTCCTTTTAGTACTTGCACCTAACCAAACACAAACATGCCTGAACAGCTAATGTCTCTGCAGATGGGCAACATGGCCTTCCCCATCTAATTCTCAACTCAACACTACTTGAAGGTATAAGTTGCTCCGGTGGGAATATTACCCACTGTTCCCCTAATAGTGTTTACACTTAATACAAACTGACACACTTCCCTGCTTTGTCAACAGCAGTCAGGTGATCTCTAGAAGAGGTGATGTAATCAAGCCAACTTCCAGTTACTTAGGGCAGGAAAGTCCAATTCTTGTAAACCAGACTCACTGTCTGCACCAAATCTGACTCAGAAATAAACTGAACAGTAGCTGGCCAGCCCTCACTCTCTGGCTGCTCTATGGTCAGGTCCCCTCCCTCACCTGAGCTGGTCAGCTGATGTATGGTTTCCCACTGGCTGTGGCACTTGATGGGAGGGAAGGCGACGGAAGCAAAGCCATGGTGTTTTATCTAGGTTTTTAAATCTGTTCTGCACACATAGAAAGGGGTTCAATGGGAAATACCATGGAGAACTGATGCAATCTCCCCTTCCCCTTTTGTATTTTTGATTCCCCAAAGACTCAAAACCTTTTGGATAAATAAGGCACCTTACATCTTTCAGCTAATTCAATTTAAGCTATTTTACCAGCATATCAATGTCATTGAGGATTTCCTTACACATAATCTTGTCTGGTTTTGATTTCAGTTTTGAGTCCAACATAGCAATGAACTCCTTCCTCATCCATTCCCCTATGGCACCCACACACACCAATCACTGGGCTGACTTGGGGCTACAGGAGTTATGAAGAGGCCAGGATGGGGGATGGTTATCCTGAACTGAAATCCCTTCAATGAGTCAATCCATATGGTAGAAATAATCTGAATATGGTAGAAAATAAGACACTTCAAAGCTCACCCCCACAAACATGAACCCACAGCCAAGGGCCATGAAGTGGAATCTGGGTCAAAATTGGGGGCGACTATACAAACCCCCCTTCCCCCAAAAAACAGGCTCTTTCCAAAATTCTGGCTAAGATTTTGCAAAATCCACAAAAAATCTCATCCGCTTCCTCTTTCGTCACGGCCAGCCGGGAGCAGGAAATCTTTTCCTAATTGCTCTTAAGAAGAAATCGAAGAGCTTCCTTTTCGAGCAAATTACCTAGAAAATAGCTCTAATCGTGCAAAGAGAGCTAATCATTTTTAGCCGCGAGTGTCGCGCGAGTAGCGGAGTAGATGGTGAGAGTAATAACAATTTTTAAAAACCTAGGGAATTAAAACCGGCCCATCCCTTTAGCCACCTTTTAAAAATCAGCGGCGACAATGACTGACTCTGGATGACAACGGAGCTCTAACGCCTCAATTTATCTACGAGGTACCAGATTTTGCAACGGAGGGGGGCAAAGCCCCCGATTTTAACTAAATTTAACCTGGATTACGGCTTCCCCTAAAAACAAAACCCTTCCTTACCTAAGGCAACACTGGCGGAGTCACCAAAGGCCTCACAGCTCGCCCGCCGGCTCTGCCTGCCTTATCTACGATCCCAACCACTACCCCGAAAGCCGCGTCTCAACAGCCCTGCCCTCAGCTGCTCCTCCCAGCGCTGACTCACCCCACGTGGCCGCTCCGCTCCGCCAGCGGCAGTCGCAACCGCAGCGCCTGATCCTGGGGCACGTGATTCCCTCCCACTCCCCTGAATCACCTGATCCGTTTCCCCCTCACCCCCCTCGCGTCATCCTTTTAACCGGGCAGATCTGTTTTCGGGAGATCGCTGGGTGTGGGGTGGGGTAGGGTGGGGTAGGGTGAATTTAACCTGGACAATCGTGCTGCTTTCCACCTTGTCTGATTGGGACCGACGCATATCTTAGAGGTCAGTCTGGTTGCCCCGGGCAGGGCGTTCCAATATGCGGCGGCTGAGCCCGGCCTCCGGTTTACTCGGAAGCAGAGCTTTCTCTGCCGTTTCATGCTTCGTGGTTTCTCTTGAGTTTGCACGGGAATAAAAGATGGCATAGGGTTTTTAGGGTCTCTTTAAAAAAAAAAAACAAGAGCGAGCCGATTTGCGATTTTGGGATTTTTGAAAAAACAATTTTGTCCCGATGCTTACCTCACCTTTCGGGTGTTCGTGGATTTTCCCTTTTAAGTGACGGCGAAAAATATGTACAACCACTATAAGCAATTTCTGATTTCTGCCAAATGTTGCCCTGTGTCAAAAGTCGCAGCCCACAGACACTCCTATTGTAAGCATCCGAATACACGTTTTTCCCCCCCAAAAAAAATCTCTTAATGAAAAGAAGACAAGAAAAAGGCCATGTGCCCCCATCTATTCCATCCTAATACTCTAATCCCTGCATTTCTTGACAATCCCTTCCAGGGGTGGGTTCCTGCCAGTTCTAAGCTCTTCTATAGAAGAGGTTCCACAAATCTTCAGTGCCATTTAGAACCAGTTCCAGCTCCCCCCCCCCCCCCCATCTGCACGTCATTAAGATGAAGAGCGAGAGGAGGAATTCTGGAGTTGAGGTCCACAAGTGTTAAAGCTGTCGAGTTTGAACACCCCTGGGGGTTTTTTCCTAAAGGGTTAGGGGTGCAAGGGTCTTGTAACTTGACAGCTTTAAGACTTGCGTGTTTCAAATGCCAGAGTTTCTGAGCCAACATTTTAGTTGCTAAGCAAGAGTATTGTTAAGTGAGTTTCACCACATTTGGCAACGCCTGCCCAGTCACATGACTGCCAAGCCACTCCCACCTGGTGACATGGCCAGCAAGCCACTCCCACCCAGTCACATGGCCAGCAAGCAACTCCCACAAAGCAGGCCACACCTACAGAAGAGGTTCTAAAAAAATGTGAAACCCACCACTGATCCCTTCCCACAAGACTGCTCTTATAAATTACCTTCCTGCAAAAAATACAAATTTTGTTTGTTATTTAAGTTATATTTCCCCAGGAATAATTTGATTTCTGAATTTACCTTCTTTTTTCAAAGTGCAGTTCTAACCAGATCAGTTTAGAGACAAAATATCAGTTAATTTTAAGATACATAAAGGCAAATATTTGTATCTCAGGGATTGAAATGAGGGATCCTTGGTGCTCTCTAACCTAGATTGGGCAATGCAAGGTCTGCAAGAAAAACAACCAAGGGCAGAGAGCATCAAGGACTCACAGTAATATATTCCCAGGTAAACATGAATGGAACTACAGTTTAAGTGTCACAACAACCGTATAAAATTTGGGTGTATGAGGCAATGGTTTTCCAGGGTAAATGTCTATGGAGATTCTCAGTCATCCAGGTCATGATTGTTCCAAAGGTGCTTTTTCAAGAAGCAACTGAGCTGAAAAAATTTCTTGAATGAGAAGTGAAACATTTTCAAAGAATAACCAGAAATTCCAGTTGCCTGCTGAAAAAGTACCTTTGGGACTTTCTAAGGTAGGAGTGTCAAACTTAATTTCAAACACATCAAGGTTGTGTTTGACCTTGGGGGGTATAGCTAACTTGAGGTGACTTGTGTTGGGGTGCCTGTGGCGGCACAAGCACTCTTGCCAGTGAAAATGGGCTCTTGAGCTCTGTTTCAGCTGTGATGGTTCAGCTTGGATGTTCCTCCAACCCTTGCCAGCAAAAGTAGAGCTATGCAGCCCTCCCGAGTTCCATCTTCACTGGCAAAGGCACTGCAGGCCAGTCCTTCACTGTTTCCAGGGTGGCCCCTGGGCCAGATCTAAGCACCCCAGGGGCCAGATCCGGCCCCCATGGACTTGAGTTTAATACCCTTAGCAATAGCAGTTAGACTTATATACCACTTCATAGGGCTTTCAGCCCTCTAAGCGGTTTACAGAGTCACATATTGCCCCCACAGTCTGGGTCCTCATTTTACCCACCTTGGAAGGATGGAAGGCTGAGTCAATCTTGAGCCGGTGAGATTTGAACCGCCGAACTGCAGATAGCAGTCAGCTGAAGTGGTTGCAGTACTGCACTCTAACCACTGTGCCACCTTGGCTCTTGTAAAGTAATCCTGTCTGTTGTGAGCAGAATAGAGAATTTGATCCTAGATCTTTTGAATTCTATTGGAGGGTTTCTAAATGTATCCATTACTTACTTTTGAGTCCATCGGCCTGCCTTATTAAGACTAGCCAAAATGTCAAAAAGAAAATAGAAGAAAAATGTCCCTAATTACTCAGAGCTTTGTTCATCAGTCTGGATGTTTTCCATCCACACAGCTTGTATCACTGCTAAGTGAAGATTTCATTGCACAATTTCCTTGTCCAAGATTTGATATTTTACAAGGACCTGAACAAAAGCTTCTATCGTTTTTCTTGTATCACAACCATGTTTTTCCTGAAGGAAAACCTGGGAAGTGCACAATATTTTGAAAATATAAGTTTTCTATAGTTCAGCCTATTCTGCCTAGTCAAGGAGAACTTGTAACTCTATTTAAGGCTAGAGCAAACTTTTCCTTCCTGAGATTCCGGGGGTCTCCTAAAGAAGCCACCTATTTAAAATTAAGATAGATGGAGGGAATTATTAAATGCAAGGGCAATAGTTAAAATAACGATTGAATTCATTTAAAATTAAAACAGAATAACATTAGTTTTTAAACTAGCCACAACCACTTTTATATCCTGTCTCCTTGTAGTTTTTGGAGTGTGGTCTCTGGCTTGCTACTTAACAGATAAGTGAAATGCTCCCAGATCATTATTTAAAAAACGACAACACTCAGCCATTGTTCCTTTGTCCCAAAATCTTAGGTGTAAACCTGATTCCTACAAAAAGTACAATTTCATTCAGCCTGCCATCTGCATCTCGCTATACATTTAGGGAACTTTAAGGAATGCTTGCTCACTAGCCTGGTTGATGTATCCTGTTGTTGCCATTCAGCGCTTGGTCTGCGTTTAGTTTACATAATATGTGAACTACAAGGACATTATGGCTTTGTTCAATCAATGACCATTTTTTGCTACACAAAAGCTGTGTTTAAATATAGTATCTTTTTGATGATACTTTGGCTGGATGGGTCTCAGGGAAAACATGATTGGATATTTTGTAATATTATCTCCCAATCGGTTGCCTGGTGCCACTTCTACTGTTAAGGTCCAGATTCAATCAATTCTGCCTTTGTTTTGATTGGGAATTACTTCATTCTTCTTTAAAGAAAAATGCCATTGTGTTGCTTGGTTTCTTCTTATCTTGTTATCTTATACTTTTACAACATCAGCCACCTTGTGAGGTAGCATATCTTTTAAACATATAAGCCAAAGGGCAGCATGACTCATGATCCCTGACTTTATCTATGATTCCCCAGAGACTGAACCAACCAGAAGTTTACTAAAGAGCTGCAATGTTCAATATGACTGAAATAAAAGTATATTAAACACAATTTAATTGTTTAACTGGGAATAAGCATGTGAACTATATTTTGTTGAATTTAAATGAAATGAAATTAAAATAATTGTACTGATTTTTTGTTCTTATTACAAATTTTGTAATAAGACTGCCAGCATGCCTGTCAAAACCAGTACAGAAGTGCGTCTTTTAAAATGAAATACGGTTTAATTCTAAATAAAAGAGTGGCTTGGATAATAGCAGTGTTAAGCCACAGGTTGACTTATTTAGATCTAGATTAGCAAGTCATGTCAACTTGTTAATTCTACCTTTATGATGTGGAGGGTAATGAATCAACGTTTATATAAACCCATCCAATTGTGATTTATTCAGATGGAGGAACATCATGGCTTCACACAATATCAAAACCCAAGCTTAGTATATGGAAACTCTTCCGCCTGATTTCATGAGGAATGGCTGGTAGGATACTTGTGAATGCCTAACACAGAACAAAGTATGCTTTGATTGTTTGCTTGCAAAGCTGTTTCCCATGAGAGGGCAAAGTGACTCCAAACTTGTTTAAAAGTATTGCATCTTTTACTCCATATATTGAATGTATTTTAATAGGTACATGTTCTGAGCAGGGCCTCATCTTTTATCTATTTGGTTTTGGTTTTGCATATGATATAATCTTGGGTTATGTGGCCAAAGAAATCAAGGTCTTATCCGCACGTGTTGTATCCTGTGGCATCATCTAGCCATCACATGAATAAAACAGACTTTATTCTGTCACATTTGATGGGTGACATTTTTGGCTCTCCTCAGTGTGCTTTTCTCCCATCCTTGAGATGAGACAGTGATATAAACAGCACTGAATCCGTAACCTACAATTTTCGGCTGCTATTGTGGTCCTCACTCAATATAATGTGGAGTAGCTTCAAGGCAATAATTTGTGGTTTCCCTCCCATCCTTGTCATCTACTTGTGGAAAGATGACTAGCCAATCACTCCTTGAGTGAGTGTGGGGTTGGGTTGGCTGTTCAAGCCACCATCATTATTACTTATTTTTTATCTTTGTTTGCAACTAGACTTTGTAACTAGATAGATTGGTGTCCCCAGCTTTGCTGGAAAGGGAGGCTTACAGCCTCTGAACTGATGGACCAACATACCACATGATGAGCTATCTCTCTGAATATCTTCTCCAATGGAAAAAGCAGCTCCTGGGTAGAGTGTTTCCCCATCTTGGACTGGGAAATAAATAGCCCCCTCATTTTCTCCAGGGTCTGGAAATTGTATCATGTTTTTTAAGGTCTAGTTTTCTAAGAATGTCATTTTAAAATTCTATTCTGTGATTTTCCAGAAGAACAGAATTGTCATGGTGAAAGTAACAATGTGTGAAAGATAAGGGAGCCTTGGTTGCATGGAGCCTTTGACAGTTTCCTCAATTGTCAAAGATCTTGTTGCCCTTGTCAAATGATTGGTAGAATTGTCTTCTCACTGCAGCAAGCCAGATGTGCTGTCCAACCTTTTTTAACAATGGGTATATTTGGGATTTGGGGAGTTTATGGTGGATACTTTAGGGGGAGGGCTGGCCAATTGAGAAAACATGGCTAGAAAATGAGGTGGGGCGTTCCTTGGAAAATCTAACTTTTGTATAAACCAGGCCCATTTTCTTAGTTTGCTTTGGAGTCATTTCCCCTGCAAGAGTGAAAAATTCCCATACTGTTCATATTTTGTTGCCAGCTTTTATGAACTTCTGATCTATGGCTAACAATTGTCCAATATATAAGAATGTAAATTGGATCCTAAGTATCAAACAATGGTATGTGATTTCACTGGATAAAAAGAAGCAGATTTGTTCAGATTTGTGGTTAGACAGCAATAAGAGTACAGGACCACTTCCAGCTCTCTACTCATATGAACTGAAACAGCCCAAGTAAACAGCCCAAGTAAACATCATCCAAGCATGCTTGTAATACAGATGACAGATGAAGGATTCTTTATTTCTTTTTTCTCAATAGATTTTAGACTGTGTTTGTTAAAAATCCATACCGTGTACGGGTTCTGGGAAGTCGGGGGGGGGGGGGGGGGGGGAGGGGTATACATTAGGCTAGACAAGAATTTGGTGGTAAACTAGAACTATTTTGACACACAAAAAATTGTACTTCGATGTCTTACTGATTGAGGAATGATGAAATGTTTGTTTTAAAAGAAATAAAACTTTTGAACCAAAAAAAGAAAAAAAGAATTATGCAGATGTTGAAATGGATTAATATTTCAACATCTGCAGAATTCTTGTAAATGTCTTGTCATCCCTATTTTTCTTTCAAGCATCTGTTCCTACCAGCTACTTCTGCAGAAATGTACTGGGTATAATTGGACTCTAGAGTCAAAGGATCAAGGGAAGATAGATCTCCAAAAGATCAATTAGACTACGTCTGTAAAGCCGAATTTGGATTTTAAAATACAGTAAAACTTTTGAACTCTCATGTCTTTTTAGTTAATTGTCCTGGCATCTAGTGCTTCTATAAAAATTGGTTTTGCTTTCAAATTGCTTATGGATCACACGATTTCTTGACAAGGTAGGGGGCCCATCATGGAGACAAACAAAATTGGGTGGTGGTTTCTCTCCAATTCATGAACAGTGTCAGCTGCAGATGTATGCAGGTGTTAAACTGAATGGAGAAACAGTAATGTGGAAAAAGCTGGGGCTGGTTGTTGGTTTTGTTCTGTATCTGATCTAATTTTAGATTGAGCAACTGCATTGTTGATGCAGGTTCCCTTTTTCAATAATAGAAAGAAGAACTGCATTATTAGGAGAATTCAGTTTTTACTTGATGGGGCACAGAGAATAAGCCTGGCTTGTAATAGGGGGACTATTCTTGGTGCTCTGGGCAGATGGGAGCTAATGCGATCCCTTAGGGCAGGGATGTTAAACTTGATTTCATTGAGGGCTACGTCAGGGTTGTGTTGGCCTCTGGGAGCCAGGGTGGGCATGGGCAGGATGGGCATGGCCAGCTCACCGTCACTCGTGTGATAAAATGCCACTTTGGCTAGTAGCTTGTTTTGCTAGCACTCTGCCAGCCAAAACGGAGCTTGAGGGCCGCATGCAGCCCTCCTGGGCTCAATTTTCAGCTATAACGGCCTCCTGCAGCCCTCTGCCACCGAAAATGGAGCTTGACAGGGCTGCATGTGGGCCTTCCTAGTTCCATTTTCGCTGGCAGAGGCACTGCGGGCCAGATCTTTGATGTTTCCAAGGAGGCCCTGTGGATCCGGCCCATGGGCCTTGAGTTTGACACCCCTGCCTTAGGGTTTGGATTGGGATTTTGTGAAATGTTATGGTTTGAATTGGGTTTTAGGTAATCTAGACATAAAACGGATGATGTTCATTAATCAAGAATTTGTTTCATTAGTTCATAGCAATAGCAGTTAGACTTATATACCGCTTCATAGGGCTTTCAGCCCTCTCTAAGCGGTTTACAGAGTCAGCATATTGCCCCCAACAACAATCCGGGTCCTCATTTTACCCACCTCGGAAGGATGGAAGGCTGAGTCAACCCTGAGCCGGTGAGATTTGAACAGCCGAACTGCAGAACTGCAGTCAGCTGAAGTAGCCTGCAGTGCTGCATTTAACCACTGCACCACCTCGGCTCTTTCATAGGATGCATGTGGCCCAGATTCTATTTTTTTTATAGTTTTAAGAACTTTTTTTTAAAATGGAGGTATAATTTTTCAATGTTTTTTGGGGAGGGGAAAAGAACTACATAAAAACATATCAAATTTGTAAACATCTCCCTAGAATAATGTTTTCCAACCTTTGCAACTTTAAGATGTATGGATGTTAACTCCCAGAATTCTTCAGCTAACATCTTAAGATTATCAAGTTTGAGAAACACTGCCCATACCAGCACATGGGTCACTTGGGGATGTCACTGCATGTGACATACACACAATGGCCCACAACTCCACCCCCCAAATCCTACCTTGTTACCCCTACAGGTCATCTACCCTAATGATACCCTTCATTATTCAATCCCCATTAAGTTGTCAATAACATTAACAAATCAGAGCTATTGTTAAATTTTATTTATACTTTATTTAAACTAGGTCAAGTTGTACAGTTTTGAACAGTGTTTCAGAACATTACAAGCCAAACAGTTATTGTAACACTGCACAAGTATATTTGTCTTCTGAAGCAAGACCTAGCAACTGTTTACATAACACTCTTAACTCTTGTATGATTTGTCTAAGCCAGTGGTAGTCAACCTGGTCCCTACCGCCCACTTGTAGCCATTCCAGCTTTCATGGTGGGCGGTAGGGGATTTGTCCGATACTGAAGCACTTTCCTTAATTTAATTTAATTGACTTCCCTACTTTATAAATCACCATTACTGTGGAACCAGTGGGTGGTTAGAAAATTTTACTACTAACAGATATACAAAAGTGGGTGATAGGTATAAAAAGGTTGACTACTCCTGGTCTAAGTAGTCTATGTGCAACCAGCCACTGCATCTGGAAAACTAGAGAAGCCAGAGGTTAAGAATTATATTAGACATTCTGGATTTTTAAAAAGTTTGCTTTCTGTCCCCTTCCATTCTCTGGTGGACTCACTTTTTTCCTCTTTTTTTAAAAAATCCTAGGCTTCCTCTCTGGTCGAAGTACTGTATCTTAGACTACAAATCCCCCATAAAATCACTTGATAGCAGTGAAGAATTAGGTGTGTTTACTGCCATTTTGCAATCATATGGATTTTTTTTCAACCCAGATATGGTAGTCCTGTTAGTGTGGTTCTGTTACTGTTATTATCTCTTTATCACTGTGCTTTGTTTGATCCAATGGGTAGCTTGGGCCAGGACATTTGTGTTTGTGTGTGTGTGTGTGTGTGTGTGTGTGTGAGAGAGAGAGAGAGAGAGAGAGAGAGAGAGGGGTGGGAGGGAGGGAGAGAAAGAGAAACTCAGGACAAGTCCCTACACTTCAGGTTAAGAAAAAGACCCATCAGATATTTTAGGAAAGTTATCTTATTGTATGGAATAATAACAGAATCTTAAAAATCTGTTCATATTTTTTTCTTGTGTCATACTAAAACAGAATAATAATAATAATAAAGGTGGAGTTATTTTTACAAGGTTTTTTTTTACTCTTTCTTCAACCTTTTATCCAAGACTCTCTTTAAAAGCTCTTTCATATTTTCCTCAAAGTCAGCTCTGGAATCCTTTGCAAGTGAGCCAATGTAGCATTGGTGGTTGATCAGAAAAACAGGTGTGGGGGCTTTCCTTCTAGTTATTAATTCTGAATAATATCCTGCTGTTAAATTGGAAAGCATTTTGTAGCAGCTAAGTTTAATAATTTCAGATGAAGATTACTATATGGCTGTATTTGGGACACATTGTAAAAAAATCATCCTGCTCTCTTCATATCTTAAAACATGGAGAGTGAAGGGATATGACCAAATGCCATGTGAAATTATAGGAAACAGCACAG